TCTGCGTCTCCCTGAGTGCCCCAGCCAGCGTTTGCTGGCTGGGGAATTCTGGGAGTTGAAGTCCGGACATCTTCAAGTTGCCAAGGTTGGGAAAGGCTGCTTTATTGCCTCCTTCCTACATTCCAGCTTTTTTTTTTTTTTTTTTTTGCTCAATTTGTCCCCTAAACGTCTTTCCTTCACCACCTCCAGACTTCAGGAGGGAAACGGCTTTCTTTTATGAATGAACTTTTATGTAGAATAAAGAATATTTATATCAAATATGTCATCCTTTTGAGTCTTCTGTGAGCCGGAACGTTGCGGGGGGGTGGGGGGTGGGATAAGCTGTACTTACACGGCTTCTGAGGTGATTTTATTGCAGTGATGGCAAACCTTTTCGGCACCGAGTGCCTAAACTTGAATGCATGTACATGTGGGTGCGCCAGAGTGTTGTAAACCCGAAGACCAGTTGGCTGTCTTCTGGTTTTCGGCATGTGCATGCGTGCCAGCCAGCTGGTCTTGCGCCGGAGCACCAGAAAGCCAAAGACCAGCTGGCCAGTGCGCACATGCCTGTTTTTTGGCTGGTTTTCAGGCTGTTTTTGGCCCGAATGTGGTTATAATAGTCCTGTGATGGCAAATCTATGGCACACGTAGGTGGCACGCAGAGTCCTCTCTTTGGGCACGTGCGCTGTCACCAGCTGCTATTCTGGTTTCTGGCGCGCTCACTGCTCTTCACGGATGCCGGAAAACGCCTCAAAACAATGGCCCCAAATGGCTGGAAAAAAGCCTGAAAAGGCCCAAAAATTGGCCTGGGTTTTGGTCATTTTTCAGGCTGTTTTCAGGCCATTTTCCGGCACTTCAGCGCCCAAAGACCAGCTAGCACACCAGAAACCAGAATAGTTGGCGATGGCGTGCATGCCCAGAGAGGGCTCTGCGTGCCATCTCTGGCACACGTGCCATAAGTTCGCCATCATGGTTATATAGAATTTAATTTTAAAAGCATACATCTCTTGAATTGGCGTATTTATTATAGCTCTTGAGTATTCAGGTTTTCCTACTCCTGGAAATAAGATGGAAGAAGAACCCCATGCCAAATAACTAATCTACTCAAGATATTTTCTGGTTTCTGATATGGTGCACATACTTTTTTCAAATGTCACTAGCTAGAAAATCTTAAATGGTGCTTTGTTTCTTCACTGATTTGCTTCTGCTCAGCCCAGAGCTCAGATTAAGATGGGATCCCACCAGCACCTTTTTTTAAGGCATGCAAAGTAAGGTGCCTGATGATCACCTAAGCTCAGATTTTTGCTAATTTTCCTAATGTTTTGCTTGATGATGTCCTAAGCCCAGATTTTTGCCTTTGGTTGTGGTCCAGAATAGCTACACGGCACAATGTCAATTTTATCATTCTTCCAGCTTTTAAATCAGGTATAGAAATCTCAAAATGCATCAGGGAGCTATGGGTGCTCCCCGCCACTTGCAGCGGCTTAAACCAACTAGCAATGACACAGAATCTGTTTCCAAGACCTCATTTAATTGAGAGTTGGGCGTAGTAAAACCAACACAACCTAATATGAAACCATCAGGAACCAAAGGAGGTTCTGAGAATTGGGTAGCAAAGAAACAGTGAATTGTCTGGGTCCCATATTCTCTGTAAGATGTTCTTTTTAAAGGGGCAGTAGCAAAGAAGGGGCGGTGGCCAGCCTGGAAGTCTTCAGCAGCTTCTGTTCAATTTGCTCCCTCCTCTTCCACCCCACAACAAAACATCCCAGCTCCCCACCCCCAAAAAAAACCTCCAAAGAACTACTTCAGTCCAATTAGCAGGAAGTCAGAAGTGAGGTTTCCGCTTTCGACCTGTGTATTTTGTGTCTGCTCTCACATTCCTGCAGATGAACCATAAAAGAAAACAAAGTAAGAATGGGCAAAATGCAAGGAGACATAGGATTCTCTCTTAGTTTTGCAAAATTTCAAATGCTAGGATGGGAGGGGGAGAGAATCATGTAACTGACAATTATCAACATTTTTTTGGAAAGGCAAGAAGCACAATGGGCATGGAAAGTGGTTGGGGCTATATCACACACAGGAGGAAGCCAGTTTCCCCCCCTGGAGATTTAAGTACCCTGTTTCCCCCTAAAAAAGACCTCCCTGGAGAATAAGCCCAATCGGGCTTTTGAGCTCATGCGCTAAAATAAGTTCTCCCCAAAAATATTGCAATACATCAGCAGCTATGAGGTGACCATGCTCGCTGCCTCCTGCACCTCAAAAATAACAAGATCTCCCCAAAAATAAAGGCAAGTGCTTATTTCAGGGGTCAAAAGAAAACAAGATCCTGTTTTACTTTTGGGGAAACACTGTAGCTTAAATCTAATTTAGTAGAATGGTATGCTCTATCCTTTTGGCATGATGTAATA